TCTATTCATTACAAACAAAAGGTTAAACTTAGCAAAAAAAACAACAAAATTGACTTTTATCATAGTTTATAGGGGTAAAACCTTGATTTTTTAGTTTTTTACGCAGAAAACCCGGCAATTAACTCACTTATCATGACAAACTCAAGATTAAGATGGTGAATAATTGTTGGAAACTATCAGAAATGATCTTGCGAGATTTTCTATTCTTTGTGCTTCTAATGTTCTGGCATAATTTTAACTTACTCAAACACGTACAAGTAAATTTTATAAACAATTAAGGAAATTCATTTTCGTCGAAATTCAAGCGTGTTTGTTTTTGGTTAAAACAATGGCTCTTGTAGGAGATAAAAAGATTATTACCTTTAAAAATTAATCAACCCTTGCATAACAATTTAAAAAACAATTTATGAAATCACTTACAAGAAATGTCCTGGCGGTAGCCCTGGCAGCTGGATTCGTATTTACCTCCTGCACTAATAAAGAAAAAGAAGAAGCGGCTTTAGAACAAGTTCAGATCATGAGCTCTTCGAAAGATTCTATTGAAAACGAAATGGTAAAAACCATGGATGAGATCAATAAGAATTTAGATTTGATTCGTGATAAACAGGGCATGGTAGCAAATACAAATGCTGCTGAAAGCATGACTAAAAAAGAAGAGATTCTTCACAATATCAGTCTGATCAACGCTTTATTAGAGGACAATAAATTTAAGATCGAACAACTTAACAAACAATCGAAAAAATTAGGTAAGGAAAACAGCGCTATGAAAAAAATAGCGAAACAAACCAAGGAGCGTATCGAAAAACAAGAGCAGGAAATTGCCATGTTAAAAGAGCAATTAGCGCAGGCAGAATTTAAAATCGCTGATTTGAATAACAAATTAGATGAGTCGCAACTGGCTAATGAAGTACTTTCTTCTGAAAAAGCTTTATTAACCGAGACCAATTCGAAACTCGATAAAGACTTAAATAAAGCTTATTTTACTTACGGCACCTATAAAGAATTAAAAGAGAAAAACATCGTTGAGAAAAAGGGTGGTTTCCTTGGTGTAGGTAAGAAAGAGGCGCTTGCAAGTGCTTTTACAAAAAACAGATCTTCATTTACAGAGGTAGATATTCGTGAAGCTAAATCTATTCCTATCCAGGGGAAAAAACCA